GGCCGACTCACCGTGTCTGGTGCATTCTGCCTGGAAAAGCTCCCGCATCCGTCCCTGACCGATGGTGCTCCTCTGCTATCCCTGCGCCGGGTGCTGCGCTCCTACACCAATAGCTGTAGCCCCGGCAGCCGTGCCCATGCAGGCCAGTTGGGGGAGGGGTGCCTCTTAGGGGTCCAGAGTGCTCTTAGGGCTGCTCTCCCCTCCCGGTACTTGCACCGGCTTGTCCCCTACAGCCCTCGAGCCAAAAGGAGGCACGGCCCAGACAGATGCTGGTTACAGACCAGGACGTCTCTCCAAGCCTCCGTCTTTGCACCTGCTATTACAGCCTGAAAGACCTAAGAAGCAGAGGTTCTGTACCCTATTCTGCGCCCCCTTTTCCGCAGGAGTTGTCCTTGATGCAAACCCTGACTCTTCTCCAGGACAAGGGGGCCTGGAGGTCCCCTTCTCTGTCTCAATGCCCAGGGCAGAGGCTGGGTATATTTGTATAATTCCTGGATGGGAGAGCAACACCCTTGACCTCCGACCCTGGCACCCTAGGGCACTGGCCTGGTCTTTGGGATGACTCCAGTTTCAGAACCGTTTAAGTTGGAGCTCTCCGCACTTACCTAGTGATCTGGTAAAGTTATCAATTCAGCCCCTATTTCACCCCCAACCTTCACCAGAAGTTCTGATTCAGCAAGTCAGGGGATGAGACCTGAAGTGTGCAGTTTTCAGAACTCCCCCAGGAAATTCAGGAACCACTGCCAGAGGCCACACACGCCCATTGCCTTGGGTCCCTGCCCCTGGCACTCCCAACAGCCCTTGCGAAATACTCCACGGTCCCCGTGGGGGTGGCCTTCTCTTGGGGAAGGGGGAGGGCGATTGTTTAAAGTCTCTGCTGGGAGAGAATCGGCCGTATCATGGGCCAGTCCCATTCCTTGCAACTGGGCAACAGCAAGGACTAGAAGTAAAGCCAGAAGGTGCTGTTTATTTCAACACAGGCTGCAAAGGCCACGCTGGGTGTGTTCTCAGAGGCTACAGATAATTTAGCTAGAAGGGAGAGAAATCCTAGCCCATGATTTGAGTGCAGTGTTGAGAAGATCCATGGGGGGAGAGGGGAGGGGGGAAGGGCAAGGGTATCTAAAATCAACAAGGAATCCAGTCGAGAAAACTTCCCAAATGTTCACCCCTCCTCAGCTCTTTGAGGCAACTCGATACAGCAAACTCCAAAGTTTCATGTCGTCTAAAAGGGAACAGAATCATTTCCTCCTAAGTCAGTAAAGCATCACACCAAGAGAGCATGGCACACCCTCCCACCCACCCCTGTCCCCAGCAGAGAGGGGAAGGAAATGTAAGGGGGGCAGGGATAGAGAATGAGGCTTTTAGAGACTGAATCCTTCATAACTGGAGGAGGAGGGGCCTATCTGTGCGTCTAGTGGGGGAGGGGCAGGTAATGGCTGCACAGAGTAGTTTCCCACAGGGCTGGTAAGTGGCTTCGCCAGGATCTGCCTTACTGGTGGAGTCCACTCAGGAGAACAGGCAGTTTTTGGAGTCACTGAGACCACTCACAAACGAACAAACTAACAACAAAACCGCTGTTTCATACGGTACTTTCTTGAACTTAGCATTAATGAGCCTTCACTTGAACTAAATGGAATGAGTCAGCGAGGCCCACAGGCCCAAAGAATCCCAGCATCTATTTCTAAGCAAAAGAGGCAGGCTTACAGGCAGCTAATCCGTTTATGTAGAGGATCTCAGGGTACTTACCAGCCCCTCCCCAACTAACAACCCGGTTTTCTCCAATAGTGCATTGAGTGCACAACTAATCCTGACCAACCAGACCTAAGCCAATGTTTCCCTGTGACCAGATGGAGGGTTTCAAAATGCCATTCCTTGTTGTCGCACCAAATCATCTTTCAATTCATTGGTGAACAAGGTCTAAAGAGTCAGAGAGACCTGCAGAGTTTTCTGTCAGGTGGGGGTCACTTGCTGCCGGCTGGCTTGCCCTGCCTCCCCCGAAAGGACTTAGAACAAACAGTGCGCTTTCTCAGGCAGAGAGAGTTTCCAACCTTCATCAAGTACATTGCCTAGAGAAGAAGCCAAAAAAGGTATCATTCTAAATTAAGATGGCAGTAAATACCTCCTTCTGGAGAGATGGAAGCCAGTGGCTCCTGGGCCCGTGCACTATTTAAAATAGGTTATTGTTGCCTTGGGCTGACATTTTGTCTTTAGGGTAAGACAGAAACGCAGGAAACAAAAACTGTGTGTGTGTGTTGCTTTTCTTCTTGAAGAGGAAAACACAAGCTAAGTCTATAACTGGAACTTGGCGATGAAGGAAACCTGGTGGGGTTTTACTGGAAGAAAGTGGCCGCCAAGCCGCCTGACCATCGTCTTCGCTTTGCAAATCTGGTTTTCATATTCTCGCTCAGTAATCACCCAAAGCTATAACTGTCTCTGAAATTATTCATTAAAGTCATTTTCAGGGATTCTCACAGGATGACTCTTTTACGTTTACGATCTTCTGAGAGCAATGACATCAGCCTCTGTCTCTTTTCCGCTTTTAATTAATGTGCTGGGAAGACCAGAGGGGCCGGGGCTGTGTCCGAGGGGAGGGGGCGGGGTGGGGGTGGAATTCGCCGGCCGCTCTGCTCCCAGCGCGGTCAGCTGAGCCCGGGCGCGCAGACATCCTTTGATTAAGGAGGGTATTTCGGGGAGTGCAGGCTGTGCAGAAGATCAGGGCTGTGCCCTGTGGTGCTGTCAGCAGTGACAGATCCCAGATGGGGCCGCTACTGTATGGCAGATTGAGTTTCTCAGCAGAAAACTCACCCTCCCTCCTAAACGTCTTCAAAAACCTTCTCCAGATACTCCAGGTCGCTTCGTGTAAAACTGAAAAAGTCCAACCCCAAAGTTGGTTTTGCGTGAGTGTGTGTATTTTTTTTCCCCTTCCTCTTCTTTTTTCTCTGCACTTCCTCCAACTCTAAGCATCTTCGACCCGCAGGGCTACCCGGCTGCTAAGAGCGCAGACCTGGCGGGCCTGGTGGTTCCTGTTCTCCCGCCTGCAGCGCCGCGCCGTCGACTCAGCACCGCGGGGCCCGAAGGCAATCCGGTGGGTAGGGGCGCGGCGTCCGGGACGTGGGGGCAACTCGGAGCACCCCGGGCAGCTGGGTGGACGGCACAGGCTAACAGTCCCTGCGGGGAGAAGTGGGGGGTTGGCGGGAGAAATGAACCTTAGGGCGAAGCGGAGAGCATCCGGCCTGGCGCCCGCTTCTCTTCCCTGTTTGCCCCAGCGGAGCCGTCCCGCCACCCCGGGCAATTTCGAGGGGCCGCGCTGGACCCGGGAACGGGGCGGGGGCCGACTGCTGGGATCGGGGAAGGGCTTGAAGGCGGCCTTGGAGCGGCGGGGCCCCAGCTCGATCCGGAATGGGGAGAAGGGGGCGGCGGAAACTGGACTGAGGCATCTCCCGGGTGAGAGGGGGCTCAGCGAGATCCGGCTTTCCGCGCCATAAACATTCGCCCACTTGTGAGAGCTGACAGTGGGGATCCCAAGTGTTGCATTCCTGGACACATATCGGGTGGGACACTCCATTGCAGAAACATTTGGCCTTATTTTTAAACCTTTTTAAAGAAATATAAAGCCCCGTCGCTACCTCCTCGGAGGCAACGGAGTTTCCTCACCCTCCCCCGCCCCACTCCTGACCCCTTCCGAGGGTGCCGAGGCCGGGTCCCGGGAGAGGGGGTGAAAGGCGGAGAGGAGGACGCGTGGCACCCTGATTCTGCTCAGATTTCTAGACCCCACCCATTCCTACCCCATGGTCCTCGTAACTGTGACACTCGGCGTGTTCCCACGGGCCTGGGACGGGGGCGAAATCGAGAGAAGGAAGGAAGGAAGGAAGGAAGGAAGGAAGGAAGGAAGGAAGGACGGAAGGACAGAAACCTGGAGAGAGCGAGATTTGTTCTGTTTTAATTTAAAGGCAAGACTTTTTTTTTTCCTTCGAAATACCCGTGCAGCTGCCTCCACCTACTCCCACACCCCTCGGAGTGAGGGAAGGTTGGAGAGCCTCCGTTTGGCTTACAAAGGAGACTCTAGGGAACCGAGAGAGGAGCTAAAAATACCGCAGACACGAGGCCCAAGGTGCGGGGTTTAGGGAGAGAGAGCTAGTGGCCTCCCCCGGCCGCATCCTGCCCTGGA